TCTACGTCTGGTCACACTTTAAGGCTCCGACACCCTTTTCACCTGGGTAAGTCCGATCGCTGCCCAAATCATTCCTAGCAGATTAGTGATCACAACGTTATCCTTTCACTAGACATACCGGTGTCGTCGATCTTGAACAACTCTGTCAACTTCGACTACCAACTTTCTGATTAATCCACCGTTTTACGGCTCACCAGTTTTGCGTTGGGCCTTGAAACCTATCGAAACTGTGGAAAATGGAGATTCCGTTGCACCGTTCCAGGCATGCGCGCTCGCACTTTGGTTCTTGGCTTCTACTCTATGCGCTGAAAACAGATCAGATTCCGCAGAAAAGTAAGACACATTGACTCCTCGATTGAATTTGTATATTCCTGCAGAATATGAGTGTCACAGAAGACGAAAAGATTTAGTCACCGGAGAAATTAAATGCTTAAAATGAAAGGACCGCGATGCAGCAATCTTCTCGATATAAGATTAAGGCCCCTGCTCACGACTTACTGATTACGTACTAAACCGTGTACCCATATCTGAAGCTCGCTTTGCTTGGTTTTCCCACTGACTTTTGCACTTATTCATCAAGTTCAGTCAGCATTTAAACCCATGACATTGTTGTCAGATGCAGTGAGTTGTTCTTACGCATCATCAATTGTCAGCATGACAAGAAATGTAGAAAGTTTATTTGCCTTCAGTGACAAGCAGTTTTTCTACAACTGCTAAAAGTATAAACAGCGAACGCACTCTGTATCGTCTTGCTCAACAACTCTGTCCATACGTGTGAACATTTATAGATGATTTAGTGCATCTCATTTGTTATTGGGTTTAATATCTGTAAGAATTTTCCAAACTAGCCCCAACCCATACAGCATCCGGTTGATGATATGAACAGATATTAGATTAACGAGGTCATTTACACTGTTTCTAGACGTCAGTAATAAAAACTCAGGCGAGTTTTCGACGACTACGGTAAAAATGACTGTTCCATCTTTACGGTCATCTTCCTTCTTTTGAGGATACCGAGACATTACGACTGCAATAAGAAGTAGTCCTTAATAATAACGTATTGAGGAACTACTCAGACCTAACGATAAGCGATTGATATTCGAAACATGAATCGACGTCTTTGATTTTGATCAAACTTAAAGTTTTCATTCGTAATATGAATGAATTCTATGAAGTTGACAGTTTCGCTTCCATAAATCACACTTCTTGCCTTAAAATCGTAATTTTATCGAGCATCGATTACTTTCCAGCTTCTAAATCTGGAGCAGGCAACAAGAAACACAATTACCGGATTTTATCTCGATGTTATATAATAGCAACTATAATCCTTTCTAACCCTACATTGCGATCTTGGCTATCGCGTTTACTGTAAGCGACGGTGTTTTCTCGAAGTCCCCATGCTTTTGTACGTTTTTATGGTTTGTATGGTTCTTGATATGGTCACCTACACGATTTCGCCTCTTCTTTCATTTCGCCCTGCATTTTCATCATGGTATGTTTGCGGTTCTTTCGTAGTCAATTTTCTAACGCTTGAAATTGCAAAGCAAATTCTGTTCTTACGAGGTAACTCCAGAAGACCCTGGTAGTCCCGTGGATCTAGAGCTGGCTGGCGGGTTGCTCGACAAATTTTCGTTTCCGTCCATCGTTTGTCTTAGTCATACTTCTCTTACAAAGAAATCTGATGAACTCAGATTCCTGATTCGGCTACAGCTCATCAAAATAATGCGCGATTTATTGTCAGTGACTTGGCTTAATATCCGCATTGACAAACGGCTAACGGATCTACCTGGATTCACAACTTTTAACTTTGATCGAATCTTTATTCGTCTTGGCGATTCTTGTCATGTGGATCGGTGATATCAGATGTGCGAACCATAATCGAGTGCCTTGTTATCACTTGTAGGCCAAAATTTCTTAAAAGTTTCCGGGCAGTACGTGTATATCGCTCTAAGTTCTCCTCCAGAGTCCTAAAGCAGTTTTCAAGGCATTTTCACTTCACGCTTCGCCTGTTTGTCTTCTGATAATCTCCTGGTGGTCACACGAGACCTTAATCTTCTCTTCACAGCTGCACTCTCCTGAAGCATATTAGTTTAACTGATATTGTCAAGTTCGACACTCGTCTAAATAATAAGCTGGATTTTATTTTCATGAACATAACTAATCATCATCATGCGCGACTATTTTGTGCTGATAAGATTTCCTTCTGCTTTCCTCGCG